CCCGGGTATTTTTTTTTGGTTGCAGCTGTCGTTTTGGCGGGCCTGGGCTGGATTCAAACCCGCCAACTTAGGTGTATGTGGCTGGTGCCTTAGCCACTTGAGCCACAGGTGCTGAGCCTGCAAAGAGCTTTTTGTATTTTTTTTCCCTTGTGGGTACCTTCCAGAACACTTGCTGTGATGTCCCTTTATTCCTCTGCTCAGTGTCAAGTGAAGGGGTCTCGGGTCATCTGCAATGTTGACCTGGGTGGACATTCCACTGCAGCTGACATGTTTAAACTTGACTCAGAGGGGCCTACAGAAGGTTATTAATCACGGGAGTGACGATTACATTTGTTGACAGTGCCCCAAGCTTCTGGGTAGAGGAGGGTGCAGGACAGGTGATAGAAAGTGGGCAGAGGAGTTGAAGAACCATAGGGTTTGGGGAAGTGGCAGTATCTTGGAGCAGGGTGAGGGGTGGGCACAACAAAAAACAGGAAGGTAGAGCTGTGAGGGTTCAGTGCTGGGACTCAGGAGCAGCACATTCTGAGCACATATCCTATGAGCCTTAAGTTGGGGACAGTTGTGTGTGAGGTAAATGCTTTGCATTCTGTTAACAGGCAGAAACCTCTTGAAGGGGGACCAGGAAGAAAGGTTGGTGAAAACTTTCCCCAGGACTGTCATCCCAGAAATTGACCCAAATCACAACTTTATAAAAAAAGACTAGTGAAAGTAAAGAGAAATTTTTGGTAATATAAATTTCCTTGGGATTGCCACAACAAACGGCCACAGCAAAGTAACAAATTTATTCTGTCAGTTCTGGAGGGTAGACGTCCAGCATCTATAGGTGGCAGGTTTGGTTCCTTCTGGAGGTTGTAAGGGAGCATCTGTTCCTTGCCTCCTACCTTCTGGTAGCTGCTGGCAGCCCTTGACTGGTTTATGCATCACTTTAGTCTCTGCCTGTCTAAATATGACATTCTTTCTGGGATTCTGTCTGTTATTTTTTTTTTTTATGAGGCAGGGTCTGGCTCTTGTCGCCCAGGGTGCAGTGCAGTGGTATCATCATAGCTCACTGCAACCTCCAAATCCTGAGCCCAAGCTATCCGGCCTCAGCCTCTGGAGTAGCTGGGACTATAGGTGAGCACAATCACACAGGGCTAATTTTTCCATTTTTTTGTAGAGACAGTCTTAACAGACTGGTCTCAAATTCCTGGCCTCAAGCAATGCTCTTGTCTGCCTCCCAAAGTGATGGGATTATAGGTGTGAGCCACCTTGCTAGGCCTCTGTCTCT